CTGAGTTGCCGCCATGTGATTGGCTGATTAGAAATTAAGTGTTAACGAGCAGTTGGACAGGTGTACCTAATAAAGTGGCCGGTGAGTGTAGGTTGAAGCCTATTGTTAGTCAATGGCCCTCTTTTGCATGTAACTAACCTTTTTACCCACCATGTGGAGGCAGTGCTTATAAGGCTGAGTTCACCTGAAATTCGTCAGACTGAAGAAGTCTCTTGGAGGAGAGGCGAAAAGTTTCACTAAAGAAGAATCCATCCAGAGGACCTACTTATGTTTTTTCTTTTTGATTTTTTTGTACCTGGATTACTGAGATGCATCAGGATGTTGTGCTGTATAATTTCACTATTGTACTTAACCACCTAATATTTGTTGATATTTTACCTGTCGACTACAGATTAATTTTTCCCACTTGTTTCTGTTCAGAGATTTCATCCCTACTTTCTGTGAAGAACAGGTGTATCTCAGCAGGGCGCAAAACACCGCTCATTGGGCCCAGGTGATCTTCAGAGGGTAGCTACCGAGGTGAGATAAAAACTAAATGTCTTTTGCAATGTTTGTTTGCAAACATGACAGTTGAAGTTGGCAGCCCTGCAGCTCAGACCAATCYTTTGCACACAAATTGTTTTTATTAAAAATAACTGTTCTCACGAGGATACATGCACGTGCATCACATCACCTGCAAACAGCTGGAGCCATGTTAAATAAAGGGATAACCCGGCTATTTTTAAAGCAGGGCTGCAGGTCAGAATTTATGTTACACTACGTTCACACCAAACGTGTTGCGTGCCTCCAAAATTCTCAAAACGCACGCATCTTGACACCGGACAGACGCATTTGATGTGAACGTATACGAGTTTCTTTAGACGCTCGAGGGGAGGAGCCTTTTTAACCGTAGTTTCGATAACTTAACAAACATCCCGACTTCCTCACTAATCGTCCTCCARGTAAAGTCCCTTTTATTTCTAGCACAATAACGGACACTGGAATGATCATACATAAATGGTCGGACTATCAGTTTTTCCTCCATTGTTTGTGTGATCCGATTTCTCGGGCTTCCGGTATTTCCAGCTCATCACCAGTACTTGACTGACCAGAGTCTCTCTGATTGGTTGATGCGATGTGGCAAGCAGCCAAAGTTCAGATGTTCCAACTCACGCGGCGGACGCTTGGGACGTGCCGCGCATGCACTGCTTCGAGCCGCGCTGCTCCAAATGCCCCAGACGCGCTGCTCGGCTTCTAGATGCCCCTARATGCRCGTTCACCATTGACTTTGCATGTAAACCAGATGCTCCTGATGCTCAAAACGCATTTGGTGTAAATGTACCAGTAGTGCTTGGAGGAAGTTGTTTTTTAATAGGGGCAGAYATATCATTTTTTTCTTCTTCTTTTTGCACMTTTTTTWTTCAATAATGGATTTACTTTGATGTTTTTAATGGTCTTTGTTGGTTTCAAGAAATAAATGAATAAATACTCACAGCTACTTATACCAGTCTACTTCTGAAGCCTCGCACAGCAACCCCAGCTGCAAATGACTCTTCTCTTTTATTCCCATGGAATTCAGGGATTAAAACACGGGCGCCCAAACATTTTCCCCAAAAGGGCCAAAATGAGAATCTATCCGGGGCTGCGGGCCAAATGCAATATAATATAATACATGAAATACAAATACTATTTTAGTAAAGTCCTTTATTTTGTAACAGTTAAGCTAGCAGCCTGCTTTTGTTTTAGTATGGGCACTTGGAGAAAGTCTACCATATGCTCAAGTAGCAAAGGCTCATGGGAAATTTCATAAATTGATAAAATATGAGTTTTTCTGGCCTTAAAAATGTGCAAATCTACATGTGGGGTTAAATCTAATCTAAATATCACTTTTTACTTGAATTTCACATTTCATATTTAATCTTAATATATCAAAGATAAAGTCAGAATCATGAGTGAAAACTATCTGCACTACAGCCCCTTATATAATCATTGGGCCAATGAATAAAATGACAAAGTGGAAATACTTGTTCTACATTGGATGACAGGTTACAACCTAGTAACAATGCCAGCTGCTGGTGGGCCGAATCAAATGGCTTGGCGGGCCAAATTTGGCCCGCGGGCCCCACTTTGGGCTCCTCTGGATTAAAATGACAGTAAATTATTTTTAAAACAGCTTGGGTTTTATGAGGGGGTCCCTGGAATTTTTCACTCTTGTGAGTGGTCCCCAGACCCAAAATGTTTGAGAACTCTTTCCATTTGACCTATAGAATACTCACACCAAGTGTTATGTAAAAACATGTTTAACAACCTGTTAAAATACACCAGAATGCAGGAAATGGCATCTATTCTGGGGGAGGACCCCCAGACCCCCCGCCAGTGATTTTACACCCTTTTTCTCCTTCACTAAATAACATGATCACAATTGTTGGCAAATTTCCAAATATGCAAATTGGACGATGATGTTATTTAGTATCTTTTAGGATGGCCAAAAACAAATTTTCTTACTGAGGAGTTGGCAACAGTGTTCCGCGGCTCAAAATCTCACTCCAAGCTCAGGTCAAAACTTGAGAGCCCTCTGTCGTGAATGGAGGACCTCAGTGACGAGAGGAGAATGTGTAGCGCTGAGCTAATACGGTGATAGCATCGGGGCTAATGTTAAAGCTAATAGGCTAAGCTGGTGTTCTTCCATGAAGCAGCTCTGTTGTCCTCCATTCATTTTATCAGTTACAGGCTGAGTCATTTCTGCCTTCTCCTCTCTGTCAACGCTCTCTGGTTTCCTTTAAAAGAGCCAATCGTCAGATATTGTCCAAGATTAACCTCCAGGATGGATAAAGCTCACCAGCATCGAGGACCTATCCACATCATCATTTACCCAGAATGCTTTGCGTGTAAATAAAATGGCCCCATCTGTGTAATATATTTTTAAAC